AGAGAAAGAAAGCAAAAGTATGATGAATTAATTGGAGACGTCCAACTCTCAGCCACCAACACCAGCAAAGGGTGCAGCATCCTCAGCCAGCCAGATACAAGCTGCTACCTCAGAAAAGCCATATGAGGTAAATCATCAGTAAAGCTTGCTATGCAGGTCAAGCCTCAAACTGGTGCCCCTCGCCCTGCGTCCCCCAGCAAGTAACGCATTGGACTGACACCAGCCAGAACTCTGAGGGACTAAAGGATGAGAGACATTACCTGTCCTTCGGGTTAGCCAGCTCCAAGGAGGTCAGGAGGGAGGGACTCCAACAAGAGCCGCTCCCTTAGTCCCGACATGCAACTTTCAGCCTGACACATCCCCAACATCACAGACACCCAATGGCAACTCAATGGTTGGTTACCATTGGGTGGCTTATGATCCGAACACCCACAAAAAAAAACATAACAAGGTGGGTAGACTCCCCCTACTCGTAGCTTTATGCGATCAGTTGGGTTTCCTGCTTCTACATAATCAGCTGACTGTAATTACACACAGACAGCATGGAACTGGAGCTAAACGCAACATCATCATGGATTTAACTGGAATAAACTGGAATTTTATACTTTTACTCATCTGTAAACCGACGTAAAGAAAATATCTGTTGTAAATGTACGATACATATTTAAACTAAATTGAATTAAATTCTAAAATGAAGACATCATCTTTGGAAAACAAAAAACGTATCCTTCATACTGTGCCTACTCCCCTTTAACAGGAAGAAACATCCTGCAGAACCAAAGCAGTGTGTACAGCCATCTGACACAACTGACCATCATCTGTGTGAGTTGCTAAAGTTTCATTGAGCAACAATTCAAATGATCTATTGGCAAAGACGAAATATTCCTATTGTGATTATGTTGTTATCATAGAACTGACAGAAGCCAACTAACTTTACATAAAGCACTGCACCTCCTCTTCAGTCATGCAAACCCACAAATCAGTGAATTCATAAAATATGCCTTTTCTGGTGGTTTTTCTCCAATCGATCTTACTCCAGAAAGTGCCAACATTTTAGATGTTTAGAGCCCAAACAACTTCAAAAAGCATTCAGTCACATTCCTGCATGTTTGCCTTCAAAACTTTCCCAACAAATCAGCTTCCAGAGTTGACTGCTGACTTTCTGACTAATACGTGGATTCTCTTGACAGCACTGTGAGGCAACACAATCACTGTTTCCCATTTGATTTGTGTGTGATTTTAAGTTGCCGCTCAATTAAAAAAAAAAAAAAAAAAATTAGTTACTCGTTCAGCAAAGAAATGTATGGAGAAAACTTCGTAGCACGTTTCTTGATGAATAGATGTTTCTTATTTAGAAAATAATTTACACCATTGACATTTGTTACTTTATATGTTAAGAAGTCTGATGATTGTTATTCCTGCTTGTCTAGCTGTCGACAAGCTCAAAGATGGTGAATAAAACACCTTTATACTGAATTGTAAACATCCTAGAAGTTGAAGTGACTGATTTACCTTTCCTCAACACGACTGCAGCAGGAGCTCAGGTATACGCTGCAGGTATACAGCTGCTGTGATCAGTAAAGCATTCTGAACCCTGAGGCTTTAAGACAGAAACCTACATGTCAATTCATAATGATGCTAACTGGAGTAAACACAGTAAACGCAGAGAGGCTTACCTGTAAAATCACAGACTGTTCCATGGACGGTTTATTCCAAACACTGAAGCCCTTCCCACACCTTCCACCTTTCCTCTGCAGCAACTTACAATTAGCTGCCAAGTTGAAGGAAGGAGGGAAAGGCAATCCGTTGACTCCACCCCCCTCACTTCGAACAAAGTTCAGCTTCCTGGTGAGTGGGATGGACGGGGCCCTGATCCAAGGGTTTGATTCAAGCGCTCCGAAAAGTGTCTGCAACAAGATAGGAGTGGGTTTATAATGGGATGGAGGTTATAATACACCAGCCTGGCAGCTCTGACTAGACAAAAGAACTGGTTCTGCAACTTTCCAAGCAGATCTCAGCTGCTCCGTATCAGCTCAGAATGAATGTATGAGTGAATTAACAGAGAGGTGAGCAAGTACCTCCTGGCAACGGGTTCATGAAGCCGGAGGATTTTTCTTATTTTATTTCACTCCATTAATGTTTTTACTTTATCTCAAACTGATATGAAATCTAACCCTCTGCTTCATTTACATGACTTGGTTTAACAGACACAAGTATTTGGATTTTAACTATTCATTTATGGAGCAGAGACACGAAATGAAAAAAAGCTTGACCATTTCCTGCAGAAGAAAGTCTTTGTGTTCAGACCAGGGAGACGTGATGCACTTGGCTGTAACGGTTTGTTCCCTTCATGCTCCAAACTTTGACCAAACTTGGATTCTCCATAAAACCCTGAAGTTAAAGCCAATATGGCCGACCATCTCCCCTTGGAAATTGCGCCCAAACGTCTGGAATTAAGCCATTTCTACTCTCCAGGTCACTTCAGTAGGTACGCTTGTTTAAGTGCTTGTCAGCTCAGATGGTTATTGCTAACCACTGTTTGTTCTCAGCCATGAAGGACTGAACACATATTCTTACTGATCTACTGAGTTATTTCATGTTGTATTCTTAGATATGTTGGTGCTACTGTGTGAGTAATTCACAACATATTTTGCAAACTAATCTGAATTAACTTTCAGCTATTTAGACCTCATTTCTAAATAGCTGAAATGAGGTCATGAGAAACCCCTGAGTAAACCTGGTTTTTCATACTGAAAGTGTGACATCATTACATTGTTTTTCTTTTTTGGTAACTGGTTTTATTCTTATTTCTGTTAATAAACTTTTGGAGGAAAGTTGTCTTTGTTTATTCCTTACACATCCAGAAGCTTATAGTTCAAGAATGTCAGTTCTGAGCTTAATCCTTCTTTTGTCATTTAATATCTAAACCTTCTCAGGCAGGTATTCAAAAGCAATAAGCGAGACTGAAAACTATTTGGCTGTTATTTCCAGATAATCAGGTGGTGACTGACTTGGTAATTAGTAAATTTGTTAATAATTCCTTTCAGCATTTATTATTAGTTATTCATTATGAAACAAAACCTGTTTTTACACAACATCACATTATGGCAAATCTTTAAAAAAAACACAACTCTTCCATGAGCATCTCATCCTTTCCCATGTGCCCTGTACTTCCCCTCATGCCTGACTAGTGATCATCCTTCTAAGTAGCTTATTGCTAGCTTTGACATTAACACCATGCTGCTATGTACTGGGATTATATTCAGTTATACCTAATTCTGTTCATTTGGATGGTTATTTACACTTAAATTTGCTGCATGTGTTACATTCCAGTGAACTGTCTCTCCCTCATTTAGCATCTGGAACGCAGCAGTCAAATGAGAGTACAACGAACACGCAATCAGCCTCTAGAACTGCTAAAGTGATTTCATCTACAGTTTGACTCCCTCCCCCAAACACCACCACCATCGTCCCTCTTCCACAGCTACAAGGAGTTCTCTCAGATGTTGTTCATGATGTTCAATTTTGCTCCTGATGTAGGGTTGGGGCAACAAATAAAAGTTTTCAATTTTCTGTGGAAGAAAATGACTAATACAAACAAGAAACAATCTGGTGTTTCCCCAAGAAAGATTCTGGGAAGTCTGTTCTGTCAGAGCCAGATGCTATTCACACTCGAGTGCTGGGTTAGTGAGCAGGTAGGGGCAGTGAAAACCCCACCAATGTGCACTGTTAAAGGGCGATACAGGGAGATACGAGCGCTGGCTCTGCAGAAAACTGCTGGAGGCCAGTTAGTTATCAACTAAATCTAAGGAGACATGAGGCGAGTCCTTCAGCTGTAAGCAGCTTAGAGGTAGCCGGAGAGAGAGGAGGAAAGCTAAGACACTGACTCACATTCACATGGATATGGGAGAGACTTGAAAACAAAGGAAAGGTTACTGAATTTTAATTTTGCCCACCGGTGTCCTGGGAGAGCAGCAGATAATGCAAGGTGCATGTGTGGACATGAGGCCACTGAATGTCTAGTATGACTAATCACTTTTAACACTTTAACCACCTACTCCCTTCCCAACCGGAGGAAAAACCCTTGTGTTTCTGGTGAGGTGTTTTCTGACATTGTTTACACAGCAGAGACTAGCAGGCCTGAATACGAACAACAAGGGGAGGAGTTTATATCTAACAAAAAAATAAACATATTAAAATAGATGATATAGTGTATAACATCGCATAAATGCCCACGGTCTGCTTTGTTAAACAAAAAATATTTTTGTAATGTCTATAGCATGTGGCCAAAAGTAACTGCAACTTTCTCATAATTTTGAAAATCAGCAGCAAATTTAAATTAGACGTGAATATGATTGTGAATCCTAAGTGCCATCCTCAATACAAACAGATGTTCTTGTGTTCTGGTCACCAGGAAATTCACAGAACGTTTTCCGTGGGGTGAAAAATGATCCTTTCACTCACAGATTAAATGAAATTCCCTTGTAATACAGACATAAGTAAGTGTACACAGTTACTAAGAGAGAAAAAACATTATCCAGTGTCAGAGGCAAAAAGGAAAAATGACGAGATCCAAAAATTGACATTGAAAGAAATATTTGGCAGCAAATCTCCAATTTTTCATGTAGGTCCAGTAGGTGGCGGTAATGCTCTTTAATGCTGGTCTATTATTGTCTAAATGGCTGAAGAAGAACAAGAACTCTTTTTGGTTTTTTTAGTTATATTAGACCTTATTACCGTAGAGTATTGCAAAAAAACACAGGAAGTAAAAGTTGCCTCGCCATATTTTACTTTTTAAGACCGTGTAGAGTGTATGATACCATATAGGTTTATTATTATTATTATTATTATTATTATTATTATTATTATTATTTATTATTAATTAATTAATTTGTTTATTTTATTTTAGTACTCGTTATTTGGTCCACACTCCTTGCCATAGACATGAACTCTTACTAGCTGGTGGCGGTAGTGTTTCCTAACGCTGTTTACCAACCGCCAATAACCAAAAAGACGAAGAAGAAATCAGGAAGTGACATCAACCACTCTGCTGTGTCTGGATACAAACCGGAGATTCTCCAACATGTTCTCCCCGCTCCACCGTCGTTATGCCCGGAGGACGTGACTGTGCTGCAGCGAACCTTTCCGTCTGAGGTTCGGGGAAGATGCCTCTGGCTCCTGCAAACCAGGCCCAGCTGATCCGGTCCAGTCAGAAGGATGAATTCTACCGGAGCCTCCTGAGGAACAGCGCTAATGAAGCCTGTCAGAGTGTCGCAGGTAGCTGATCTCTGGCAGTTTCTGCTCGGGTTGCTTCCACTTGCTTCTGAAATGTTTTGGAAAAATCAAAAGAGTAAAACTGTCTGCTTTACTCAGAAAACTCCTCGGATTGGTCTTTCAGTCAGCCCGCTTTCTTGTTTTTGTAGAAGGAACAACAAACTTTTTAGTTAATTTCATCTTTATTGTCTCTCTTGGGGAATATGGTGTTGGACATTCAAAAGGGAACATGGTGTTGTTGCCTGAGCGGTACCTTGACTTGATTTAAATGGATCTAACAGAGATATGTAACATTTACAATTTTATTTCTTAATTCACATCCTTTCAGTCTTCTTCAGGACATTACAGGATGGCTGTAAACAGAGGGGATTATGGTCAATGCCGACGTTTGAACAGGTTGGCTGATATCTGGTGCTTCTTGCTGAGTTGTTTTCATTTCAGTTTAATTCAGAGCTGCTTTATTCACCCCAAAAGAAAACGACATGTTGTCATATTTCATATCACCCAAGCACCCTCAAAGAGTTGTTGTGGATGGTGATGCTGTGGAGAGGAAGAATCTCCAGTAGCAGTCAGTCTTCCGACAACTCTGAAGAGGCCTCTGACTGAAGACTGTTGCTGTATGGCAGCGTCCTGACTGTCATGGCATGGTAACAGCTGAACATCAGGCAGCAGAGACGATATTCCACAGTAAAAATGTCATTGTCCTTATGAAGCACTGCTACTCCATCTAATTTGTTTTTGCTGCTCTCTTTGCTTTCACTCTGTCTGTTTAGAAAGCTGAGCAGAGAGACATTGGAGTCGGGATAAGACTCCATTTTTCATTATGATACATGGAAGAGATGGTTTGAACTTCGTCCTCATTTTCTACTCCTCCTTGGATTTGTGGCCAGTTTACGCTTTTGAGCTTTGAGATGCTCCCGGGTGTAAATACCTGGAGACAGGTTCCCCCACCTGAGCTGTGGATCTCTGCAGTTGATCCAGAGTCACCATGGGCCTCTTGGCTGCCTCTCTGACCAGTGCTCTCCTTGTTCAGCCTGGAAGTTTAGGTGGACGGCCTCGTCTTGAACAGCACTCTGTGAAATCTGGTGTGTTCCTTGGACGTACGATGCCGTTTGCGCGCCGTTATTCTTTTAGCCGACCTCTGAGGCGACACAGAGCAGTTGGATTTGTACTGAGATTAGATTACACACAGGTGGACTCTATTTAGTCATTAGCAGTCATCAGTCAACTGATGGGGGGAAGAATACTTAAGCACGCGACAAATTTCAGTTTTTTATTTGTAAAACATATTTTGAATCATGTATAATTTTCTTTCTACTTCACAATTGGATATGCCACTTTGTGTTGGTCTTTCACATGAAATTTCAATTATGTTTGTGGTTGTAATGTGAGAATATATGGAAAAGTTCAAGGGGTATGAATACTTTTACAAGCTGCTGTAGCATTTCCTTACAGTGTTTTTAGCTGGTCGTTTTGACAACTTTTTATCTTTGCTGGTAATTTCCAGATGAAGAGTGTGTTTTGTTTTTTTTTTTCTCTTTTCCTGCAGGATCCAAACACTGGCTGGACTGGAGGAGGGAGGTAGAGCTGCTGTCAGACTTGGCTTACTATGGTTTAACCACACTCTCAGGTCATTATTGAATTTAAAAGTTGAGCTTTAACCTCATCGAATGAATGAAGCCGGCTAAACGATGGATCCGGACTGTGCTCAGGTTACCAGACTCTGGGCGAGGAGTATGTGGGCATCGTCCAGGTGGATCCCTCCCGGCGGCAGATCCCGTCCCGGGCCAGGCGCTGCCTCTTCGTCCTCTGTCACGCCTTTGTGCCGTACCTCCTGGAGAAGGCCCTGGTGTGTCTGGAGAACGAGCTGGAAGGCGGGCCGGAAACGCGGAGGCGCCAGGCGACGTCGGGGACCTGGAGCCTGGAGCGCTGGCTCAGGAGGGCGGCGCAGAGGGCGGTGGGGCTGCTGACGGAGCGGCAGAGGAAGGCCTGCCAGCCGGCCGTGTTTGTGATCCAGCAGAGCGTGGCCCTGCTGCACCGACTCCATGTTGCTCTGTTCTACGTCAGCAGCTCCTTCTACCACATGTCCAAGAGAGCAGCTGGGATCAGCTACGTAAGTCAGACCAGACAACCGACTGCCCACCACATCAAACAAACAAGTCTGAGTCAGAACCAGGGAGCACCAGGTCCAACTTAGTTGATTTCCATCTCTACATTAAAACTAGCATTCAGTAAATTATTTAACCTTAAAGTATGTTTTCCCCTATTACAGTTAATTACATGTTAGGAGTTCAGCGACTGCAGTTTTTCTGGAAAATCGGCGATTTCCGATCTTTTAAAGCCTGATCTGCCGATTCCGATTTTAGTCAAAAGCATTTTGTCTGAAATGTTGCTAAATATAGCAATAAAGTCGCTGAGTTAGCAACAGTGAGCTGACTATTGGTAACTGCAAACGTGCAGTCATGACCAGGTGGGCGGGGCCAACAGTCAAATCCAGCAATAGCAGAGCAAAAGAAGATGGCGGCTGATTTTAAGCCTTTGTTGAGGTAGATAAGACCAGAGGATCAGCTTCACATGTAACTATCGGTCGATCACTGATCTCTCATAATTAAGATGAACTATTCATATTTATTGCTGAGTGAATAAAATAATAAAAATGCAAATGGAAAATATAAAATCTTTATTTTACTGAAATCATATTTGACATATGTTATTTTATTTTTTTCAAATAAATTAACATTCAGTTGTTAATTTTACTTAATTAAATATTCAACTTGAAGTTGAAAGTACCATCCATATGACTCCATTTCTATATATTTCCTCCTGAAAGAAACTATTTCATGTATGCAAGTTCAGTCTTCTTCCACTCCTTGTTATTTTTTAGGATGTAACTTTCAATGTTTCCAGTCAAATGAAACCAAAACAGCAACGCTTATGAATTTCAAGATGCTTTTAAGATCAGGGAACCAAATGTTGAGTTGTCGGTGGTGTGTGTGTTTGTGTGTGTTCAGTTGTGTGTGACGGGGCCGAACGCTGATGACTCGTCCATCAGGAGCAGCTACCGGCTGCTGGGTTGCGTGTCTTTCCTCCAGCTGCTCGTCACTCTGAGTCTGCAGCTCAACAACCTGAGGCAGAGGCAGAGAGCCAGGCAGGAGTGGCAGATCTACAGGAGCCTCAGGTGGAGCGCCACAACACAACACGCTCACTTTCCTGGTTAAAAAGATTCTCAGCCATTTTAAAGCTTTTTTTTTTTTTGGGATAGAAATGTGTCAATCTTTCTATTTAAATTAGAACATTGTCATAAAAGTCCTTCATAAAAGCTTCCTGTGTGACATTAGTCCTCGGCACCCAGCGAACTCCGCCTCCACGCCCCGATCTGCACGCTGCATCCTCTGCCTGGAGGCCCGCAGGAACTCCACCTGCACCCCCTGTGGACACCTGTTCTGCTGGGAGTGCATCGCCGAGTGGTGCAACACCAAGGTCAGACTCTCTGGTCAGCTCCAGACCTGCTGGACGTCACAGCTAATCCACCTCCATCCAGCCATCTGATCACAAACACCAACTTCCTACTCTGCATCACTTCTTCTGTGAACCCTCCTTTTCATTACATGATTCAAACTTTTCCTGCTCTGGAAAAAATTAGGAAACCACTTAAAATTATTCATTCTGTCGCTGTTTCTTGATATTGCAATGACAATATTACTCACAATTAACCCATATTTACAGAAACTTTTTGTTTCCATGTGCAGAATTTGAGCTTTAGAAACCCGAGCAAGGTTTCCCTTCCCTGCCCCAAACCCACCTTCTTCAAATGAAACACAATTGGTGTCCAACATTTGTGCAGCAAAAAGTTTTGTTTGTGCTGTAGATAAAATGTTAATAAGTACATGTAGAGATGATCAAAAGTCATCCATCTGATTGGGGTTGATCTCTGCTTACATCTGGGAACTTTTTTAATTAAAGTCTCACAACTTTTTGCTGCACGAACATCACGATTGTGCTGTGCGACATACACGGACAGCAATAAGATGGGAATAAATATTGTCTGCAGAGAAGTCAGGTTATATGACACTGAAATGCTGAAATGTGTGTGTGTGTGTGTGTGTGTTCGTGCGTGTGTGTGTTGTGTGTTCCAGGCCGAGTGTCCTTTGTGTCGGGAGAAGTTCCTGCCCCATAGGCTGGTGTTTCTAAGGAACTACAGCTAGACGTCCAGCTGGAACACACACAGCTGGACTGAATTTGTGTATTCAGTCGTCATGGAGACCAGAACCTTCCAGCCTGCTGAGATTTATCCGTCTGTCCTAAAGAGAACAGGATATGTTTGGATTGTATCAATCAGATGATGTAAATGTCAATATCTGGGAATTCCAGAGGTGATTTAAATATTTAACTTCATCAGATCATTTCTTCTGGTATGTTGTTTTGTTTGAATATTATTTTATGTGCTCAATTTATGCTGTGAGGATGTGCTTACAGTCATTAGTACTATTTAGAAGAAATACTGAATGGATGATGAAACAATAGTTTTTAGCTTGTTCTATTTCTAAAGTGGAACTTTTTTGGATCGGCTCTGCAGGAAGTTCAGGAATGGACAGAAAATTATTCATGAAAGATTCTGATAAAAAAAAAATATATTTTTCTCTTTGACTAGCCAATTAAAAACTAAACATGTCACAATCGAAAGGAATCATAAGGAGTTAGACGGATTGTTCTTGTGGAATATTTTTAGCGTCATAACGCTTCTGCTACATTAAGGATAAACTCAGATATTTTTTGTTTTTGTTGTAAAAAAAAACCTAATATTTCATCTTCCTGTTCCACCTTGGATGCTACATGGAAAACTCCATGCTGCAGTTTTTAATTACCTTTAGAAAATAAAAGTGAAATTTATTTTCTAAAAGTTTAGATTCAAATAAGATTTTTTTCTTGTTGAAAATCTTAATTTGTAAGAGCAATATACTTTTTAAATAAATGAGCCTTGTACTAATGTGATTGATTTAAATAACATTTTTACTATTTTCATGAAATTTTGTTTTTAATTCTCTGATAGCAATGATGCTGACATTGGCCACAAGTATGCTAAATATGACTGTACCTGAATTGAATTTAATACCTATAGTTAAGTCTACAATTATACCACTGGGAGGCTTAGGATTAAAGTAATCTTTTCATTTAATCAAACTGCTCAGTAATTATAGCCTGATTGCTGTTTTCACTGATTTTTGATATTTTTTTTAACATGTAATTTTCAATTAAATGTCAAAACTTTTTTTTTTTTCTTGAGCTGATCCTTAATTTACGTTACATTATGTTTTGAGCGATCCAAACAGAAACCTTGAATGTGTTGGGATATGAAGGCGAATAATAAATACATTTTAAAAAAAAAACCTCTTTTGGGGCAATAAAATGGTAGCTGTTAAATTGGCTTGACTTGCCCATGAAAGTCAGTGTTTGGTTCTGGTCAGATCCACATGACCATATGTCTGATGATGTCGTCACACACACACACACACACCGGAGTCCCCAGTAACTTCTAACCCCAATCAGAAAGCATGTGAATGAAAACAGGAGGCCAAATTAAGTGCAGAGTAATTCATTGTCAAATAGCAGAAAACAATACACCAGTCACACAATACATACCAAGTAGTTTAAATATTGTACACTCAGCTTCCCAAATCCCATCAGCCCCGCTCAGACGCAACATATGTTACATGCACACATGAGCAACTTCTGCCAAAAAAAAAACAGAAAAAAAAAAAAAAACACTCCACACAGACCCACATGCCATCCTGTCCCAGAGACTTAAAATCTCACCCAGAAATCACTCCATGTGCTGTATTGCTTTCAGCGTACATGTTGCTGTTTGGTTACAGCCTGAAAAGAACAAGCTCTTCAACAGCACAAGCAGTTTAAAAAATAGATTTATATTTATATATATATATATATATATATATAATTAAATAAAAAGCTCCACCACATGCTTCTCTAAAACACTGTATAATGTGCTGCTTCCCATCTATACACTCTACCTGAACACACTATAGCGCAACTGATATGGAAGACCATTCCTGCTGGACTGGATAGATTTTAAAAAAGAAGTTGGAAATTAGACTAAAAGATACACGTTGTAGGTCACTTAACGTTCTCTCTTTACATATCTGGAAATATCAGATTGTCACCTTCTAAACATTTTTCATTTGGGTTTCTTTGTCACTTTTTTATGTGGGGAAAACTCAAAACATTTGACAAAAATAAAAGCATTTCCTACTTCCTGCGTCTGCTGGTGTCACCGGGCGGAAATGGGCTTCAACAGATCTTCACCTCATAACTTAAAGTGTCAAAGTCCAAATAAAATGAAAACATACGTGGTCCAGGCTTCACTTACAGCAACATATTTAAACTCCTGTGAGTGAAACTAAAAATCAAACTGCAAAAATTTACATTCATTTGTAAAAAATAAAATAAAATAAGACAGCATATTGGATATTGTGTTCACTGGAAAGTCTTCAGCCCTGTGCTACTAAAGAAACATCCAGACTGGATGTTCGTTGCTGTGCTTGAAGCGAATGCTCAGGAGGATTTCTTAGGAACAAACCAGCAACATGTGCAGATCCTCAGTGAGGCGACCCGACAGCTCGACACAGCTGGACCCTCAGCTAACGTTCCAGCTAGCTAAGCTAACGTGAGCAGGTAGAGAACGACTGCGATGTTGTGACCAGTTAGAGGTTAAAGCAGCAGAAAGGGGGAACTCTCTGCATGTGGAACCAACATTTTTCTTTAGGGGGTTCATTTCACATATAGTTACGTTAAAAATTATTAATATACCCAACAGATTTACTGGTAGATCTTATGTTTGCTTTAGGATTATGGTTTATGATTGGGCACAGGCACTTCCTGTAGCAGAGCCACTAAAATGGGAGATAAAATAAAAATGTCTTGCAGTTTAACAAAAAAGAAAAACAAAGGCTTTTTCAATCAATGGAATAGGCTTAACTGGCTCTATTTATATTTGTTGACCAGCTTCTACGTGTTTTCGCTTCCAGGTGTTTCTGATTTTTATGGAGGAGCTTCACGGCCTTCTGCTCCATCACCCTAATCTTTGGTTCTGTCAGAGTCACGTCCCGTTGAGATCACGTTAAATCGGAACCTGCCAGGGTGAGTAAGTCTGAGCCTGACTGGACGTGTTTTACTTCTTGTGGTTAATAAAACCCAGAAATTTATCTCTTAGGTCAAAACAAGTCAAAGTAGAGTTTTGTTTTTTCTTAATCTCTTTACAGGTTTATTAATTAGCTCCAATTAGCCATTTATCAATGAGTCAAATGAACCGTTTTAAATTAACTGAACCCCTTAGATGAATTGTTGGAGAACAGCAGGGTCAGAGGTGTCCGTGTGTGTGTGCGTGTGTGTGAGAACGTTCTGCTGGAAGAGCTTCTCAGCTAGAAGGAAACAGACAAGCGGTTTCCTAGGCGACGAGCAAGTCTAAGCTGTACGTTTACTGAAATGCGTTCACGTGTGTATAAGCTGATCTGGGATCTGATGTCACTTCTTGAAAGTAAAGAAGAATGGTAGAAGAGTATTTATCTTTTTTCTTTTTATTTTATTGAAGCTTCTTCAACCAGGACCTGAACTATGAAAGCCTCTCGTTTTCATAGCGACGCCATTAACCCATTTTAAAATAATGAAGTCCCCCTACTTATTATTAAAAGGTAATATTTTTTAAAAAGCTTTTACACAATGCGGGATCTAGCAGGCTGGGGACGGTGCTAGCTGTGCTGGAGCTTCAGCCACTTCACCTAAGGTGCTGAAGTTTACATGCTTCATCACAAAAATGTAACAAGACCTTGTGTTTGTTCCACAAAATGCATAATTCGCCCACTTTTTGCATTCGTTAAAGAGCAAAATCGTGCAAATCTGGATCCTAGAAAAATACAAAGTTGGAAGTTTAGAAAAAGAAAAGTTCCAAGAGGAAGATGGTGCAGAAGTCCTTTCAGTCTTTGGTTAGGTGATGTTGAAGAAAAGAATGAGGACAGGATCCCTGAAGAGCGTCCGGTTCACTTCAAAGCGATGACTCGATACGATGTCTGAGCTGATGAAGCCCCCAGAGTGGGCCTAGAAGAGAACGCTCCCGTCTGGAGGAAGAGCCCTTGGTAGATCTGAGCCAAACGATGCTGGTACAGAGAGGGAATGTAATGATGCTGGTTACCAGGAGACAAAATGCACCATTCCCCGGTGCAGAGGAAGAAAGTCTGACTCATCTCAGTTCAACGGGAAGTGGAGAGGTACCCTCAGAAGCTTGGACTAAAGTGAAGGCAGCAAGTTTCCATGAAGGTTCCTATGGAAAGCAATGAATGAGGATGCGCTGTATTGGTTCTCTGCTGGCTGCTGCTCTGATAACTGAGCAGAGGTGTGTGTGTGTATGTGTTAACACACACACACACAGCAGCAGCAACAGCACTCCTTCAGGGTCCGCTTCCAGCCAGTCATCTCTTCCCTGACTTCATGTAGGATGGGATGGCTCCTCGAGCCGTCAGACCCTCAAAACGCTTGTAGGTGTAGTTGATGAAGACCCAGTCCTTGTTCTTCAGGTCAGCCTCGCTGTGATTGGACACTTGGGTGGCTAAAGGGGGAAAAAAAAAAAAAAAAAAAAGAAGTTAAACCACTTTCCCCATTCGAGCACAAAGTGTGATGTGGAAACCAGAAAACGGTGAGGCTTACTAGTTGGAGTGAGGATGTCCGAGTCGGGGAACTCGTCGAAGTTGGATGTGTCATCAATGCTTTTGATGTTTATGGGAATGGCAGCAGGTCTTTCTCTGCAGGACGAGAGGAGGAGAGGGTCTGCTGACTGGGAGGCACGGCTCATCTGAGACGGCAATCAGGTTAAACAAAACGCACAGCGCAGCGGACTGGAAAACGTATCGCCACGTACGGGTTTCATTTCAGGCCAAATCTAGAATTGTCCATTATTTTGTTGCAATAAGCAATAAATCAATTAATTGCATGTAAGCGTTTCATATCATCATTTCTATCATGTAAATAGACATTAAAACAATTTCTCTTGACATGATTTATTGTTTTTCTCTTTTCTCTCTAACAAAAACTGAATGACAAGTCGTCAGTCTGGTGCTTTGGAAGGGCAATTTGTTTACAGGAACTTCACAATTCATTTATGAAGCATGTTATTTGTTGTTTTGTTTATTTTTTATTTTCGACTTCTTGCTTAACCCACCCTGTCTGATGCCGCCCTGGGCATGTGCCAACATAGCCCATATCAAAAACCACCATTGTATTCACTTTTTCAAAGAAACGCCCAGACATTTTTTTGAAAACATGCACACATTCTTAATGTGCACACAGTTAAGAAACCGTTTTATTGTCTCAAACTAAACATGTCTGACGATTCTCAGTTCCTGGTTTTTATATTCAGGAAGATTTAAAGGAAGCCATTTTGTTTTAAAGGTCACCTGCATCATCGTGACGTAGTGCTAAAACAGCACATTCTTTCATGAGCTCAAAACTGGCAGAACTGATCAGGTGAAATCTCAATAACTAAGAATGATTTTGTGTGTTAAATGTAATGAACATGTTTTGAACAGGCCACAGACTATCTTGGCTTGTTCAATGGAGCACAATAGTGGACCTTTATACATTAATTAAATATGTCCCTGACCATAATTTCCTATGGAATTTGTATGGTGAAGCAGTAGCTGCTTGTCCTCATCCAGCTGAGTGATTGACATAATTCATGCATGTGAAATTTTGAGCTTGTGCAGGTAGGCGTGCACACATGGGCTAATGGAGCAACACAAGAAAGTTGTTCTTGCCGGTCTGTGAGTGGAAGTGGTTGATCCGGGTGGATCAACACTATTTTAAGATGTTTGTTTGTCAACCTTTTGCTGTCGCTCCTCGTGTGTGGAGTCCATAACTGAACTGAATGAGGCAGCCCTCCATGGGGGAGAGGCTTTCAGGTCAAAATAGACAGCTTGATTAATCTGCACTATGCAAAATTAACACATTGAAATTTTCAGGTTAATACGTTAATGTTGACCGGCCTAGTAAAACATAAGACATCCACGTATAAACGGTAAAGTCCCAGTTATACTGAAGACGCAGAAGCCTTGACCCGTTTGCTGAAATTCTGAACATCAACATTTGTTTTGCGGCGCCGAGCGGCCAGCTGTCCTACCTGATGTGGTCGTAGTCCACCCCCTCAAAGAATGGGTTGGACTTGATCTCCTCCACGCTGACAGCACCGATCCTGTGCTCCTCCTCACAGCAGAACCTGAACACACACATCTGATCAGCAGCTGGATCAGCAGCTTTACTGCACATTCTTTCACAAATCAAAACTCATCATTCAGTAGAGGTGGTGCAAAGTGAATGAGGTCTGTTTTCCTGCCTGAGAATGAGGTCTTTAGCCTTCTCTGATATTGGCACTTCTGGGGGAAAGGTGAGCGTCTCTCTCCAGTTCATCACCTTCCTGTAGGTCTCCTGAGGCGTCTCGGAGCAGAACGGAGGGTACCCTGCAGCAGACCGGCCGCACGTCACATAACACCCCAACAACACACTGGCACAGAGGCAGGCGGCCCCAGCATTACCTATCAGCATCTCATACATGATGACACCAAGGCTCCACCAGTCACACAGCTTGTTGTATCCGTTCTGCATGAAGACCTCAGGAGCGATGTAATCTGGGGTTCCCACTGTGGAAAACGCCTGAGGGAGAGAGAAACAATTAAAACACATTTGTTATCACAAAGTAATAAGGCAGTTCAGACTAGAAATGGGGGCAGAGAGAAACAGTTGTAACTGAGTAATGAGTCAAGGAGAGATGGTCTGCTTCAGCAGATAAGACGCACAGACAGTATTGTGTGGTGCAACTACCACACAATACTGTCTGTCAAGTTCCTTCTTTGGGTAAATTGGCTTCACATAGTTCCAAGGAATCCAAAGCATCCCATTCAGAGTTAAGACTGTATGTGTTGACATCACTTATTTGGTGCTAAAATGGCTTCAAAGCCTTGGGATGCGTCTGGAAGAGTTACGTTTTCATTCATGTCGACAGCAGGCCGACCTAAGAGCACACAGTCTTTACAGCACACAGGTAAGCTTAAACGATTAATCAGATTACTTGTGATGAATCGATTACTGAAATAATCGTATTTAGTAATTGATTAATCGATAACTGGAGTATTATGACACAAAAAGAGTCATTTACTGAGGGGGAGCCAGTTTAAGATTCACCTGCTCTGAATTTTAGACAATAAAATGTTTAATTTCTTGAGGAATTGAATTATTTGTTTATTTTCATCTTTTAATGTATTTCTAATATTGCATAAAACAAGGCTGAAGTGGTTAAATGAATGGGCCTTTTTTATATTTATCTAACTGAATTGTCAGACTCACCAATTACCAAAATAGTCATTACACACAGATGACCATCAGTGTGTCGTTTGTGGGGTTGGGGGCGGAATAAAAAATAAAAAAAATTAAAAAAATCGCTGCATAATTAACCTAAAGGAAAGAAAGTAAAAATGCAGAAACTTTCTGAATTAAAAGTCTGTCGCCATAGCAACACTGACTTCCTCCATCTGTGACCTCATCGGGGTCATGGATATTCTACAGCATCAGACTTTAAATGCTGGGGTTTCCCTCCACTGCTGTGTAATCGAATGACAGCATGATTAAACTGTGTTCTGTCGAAATGCGCTACCCGTCGATCATCGCTACCTTCAGGCAATGCTGCCTCTTTATCTGATCAGCTGCTCTCAGCCACTGGCTAATCACAGGGGGGAGGGGCTGACTGTTTACACATTATTCTGTGCTGAACTCAAACATTGGTTACTTACACACACACACACACACACCAGTTCAGCCTGGAAGTGTGAAGAACAAAGTGAACTTGATTCACTATTTTGTCACCAAGTTGAATTAGATTTGTATGATTGAACTGAAGGAGCCTTGATATTATGTGTTGCAACTATATAAATAAACTGTATTTACATTCTACAGTGCATATGAATGCTTTAAATTTTTTGCATTATTATTATTACTATTATTATCCATTAACGGATCGTTTACATAGTGAGCAATCTGTTAATAATCCAGGCTTTACTTTGTAAAGGAGAGATTTGGAGCAGAAACCTCTGCTCCAAACTAAAAAGAAAAATCCATCTAGTGAGAGCTAGATGGATTTTCACAACCATATAACGTTTTCTGTGCAGCTTTAAAGACATTTGGTGGTTTGGTTAAAAACAAAATAATATATAAATGACGTAGTATTACTCATGTTAGCAGGTATTTACAGATTATTAGAGTCAGTCTAGACAAAATACCACTTCCTGTAACATGCAACCAAAATGTAAATGAGGTGTAGAGGGATCTGTTCAGACCTACCAGCTGCCTCCTGTTCCGCTTCCAGGTCTCGGCTTTCCTCTTAGAGTTCATGTTCTGAAAGGCTGCACAGACAAAACATCAGTTTCTGAGGATCAACCTCACCATTAGTTAAGGACAAAAATATTTTTTTTGTTCTAAAACAAAGCAAGATTGTTTCCTTCTCTTCACCTTGTTTGGCTAACTGGGAAAGAAAATAAAAAATAAAAAATAAATAAAAAAATCAAGCTTATGATGAGGTTTTTCTCTTCCATAACCCATGAGAGTGATTATTAGCTCTGGCTCATACAGCTGCCAAAAGCTGCAGGACAAATTGACTAACAGAAACAGTCTAAAAAGTTTTCAGAAGAACATAAACAAGCAGAGCAGCCAAGCTGGTTACACAGACAACACTAGAAATCAATAACAATACACTGTGTGTATAAGTCAGCTCCTGTAGGTTGCAGACAAACTATAGGAAATAGATGAGGCCTATTTCAATGCAAAATGTTATGCACTTTGCCTCTTCTGACAAGCTGAAATATAGCAATATTGTTGCAAATTTTGTAAAAAAAAAAAAATAATAATAATAATGTTAGAAAGCCTCAACATACTCACCTTTTGAAAAAGACTGATAAAGGTGACAAGTTACCTCTGTTTACAAGTCTTAGTGTGTTTTGTCCCTCACATTAAATGGCACACCATGCACAGACACAAGCAGCTGAAGATGCAATGACGACGGCAGCGACGGCTGGAAGAAGTAAAGTGAAACGTTGCCTGACTTTGCTTACTGAGGTCACTGGGCAGGCTGTGGTTCAGGTTTTTGTAGAAGTCTGTGCGGTGAGCCTTCTTCAACCCGGTGCACAAGCCGAAGTCCGACAGCTTCACGTGACCCTGAACCGACACAGAGCTCTCCGTTAGTGGACGAATTATAGATGGGCTTAGATAGGAGCTGGAAACAGTAGAGCTGCACATTATATCAGTGTCACTGTATACATTACGCATAATGCGAAAGGCTGCGTTGACCATAATAAGTGTTTAAGTACCCAGCATTCAGACTGAGTATGCCTAATATGCCTGGTGACAACTGTTGCTGGATTCTGCAAATAAAAAAAAGTTTTGAAGGTAAAGGTGTCTTTATGAATCCAACCTTGTTTTTGAGAGGAAAATATTGAATACTGTTTGATTTTTCCCAGAAGCTGGACAGACTAATAATGGCTGGGCTCTACAATGTGCACAACTATTAGGCAGGTGAGTATTTTGACATTTATAGGAATACTTTCTCACTCCAAGCTGGATTAACTTGAATGAAGAACGGATTTAAACACAGCAGACGGTGTGCATCTGTGTAATGGGACTTCTGTCATATCCTAAAACTCCAACCGACTTGGAGTGAAGTCGCCCCCTCATCTGGCTCAAATCTAACAAAATTGGTGCCAAATGTTTGTGCCAAAATTTGTACAGCATCATTTTTTGTTTGTGCCGCCATCTTTTCAAAGATATTAATAAATGTATCCAGAGGTCATGAAAGCCCTCTCCATCTTCCTCAAGTCAGACAAAACTGGCGTGAGTCAACCCGATTACGTTTGTGCAGTAAAAATTTTCGTTTGCTTTGAA